ACACAATCCAACATCAACCAAATAGGTTTGGGAGATCAAAGAGAGAGAATTGTGAGTTTTCAAGAGTGAAACACAATCATCTTTCAAAGGGGTTTAGTTTGAAACCAATCTTGAGAATCTTGTACTAGCATCCTTGTATTCTCAAGATATCTCTTCTCATCTCAAGGTTCCATTGGTGTGGAGACTTAGAGGCCATATACTTTTGTGGCTCACAAGGAGGAGAAAGATCAAGAGGAGATCAACAAAGGGAAATCATCAAGAGAAGACCAAAACACAACTTGGTTCATATAATTGCTTCAAGGGTAATTATATCTTATCATTTCTCTTGAATTTTCATTTATGAAAAACATATCAATGTTCATGGCTTAAGATACTTGGAAGAAGTTTTGTTTTGAATTTAAACAACCACCATATTCTTCCGCTGCAATTAATTTGATTAATTTGTATGTTTAATGTTCAAATCAACTTCTTAAAAATGTTTTAAAACCAACAATATCCGCGTCTCTTTTTTATTCTTATGTCGTTAAATATATTTTCCACGGCGATTGGCTGAAAAACTTCGCCGTCTCAGATAGATTAGACAACTATTATTTTGGTAAAGACGACGTATCAATTTAGAAACACGGCTGTCTTTTACATGATCACGACGTTGTATATAAAATACTACGTCGTTTATAGAAATAAATATGTCGTAAGTCATGAGCCTAACATATTTTCCACGTCGTTTATTTTCAGATCATGTCGTTAATATAAATTTATACGGCGATCGAATGGAAATTTGTGCTGTTTAAAAAATATTAGACGACGGTTTTGTGTTTAAAGATGACGTATAAATTTTGAAACACGGTTGTCTTTTAGTTGTGGACGACGTTGTTTATTAAATATAACGTCGTTTATAGAAATACATGTGTTGTAAGTAATTACCCTAACCGCTATTTCCACGTCAATAATAATGGAAAAAACGAAGTGGAAAAATCATTTCACGACGGTTATATAAATAGATGGGATGTAGTATATTTTAATAACGTCGTATTTTATTTATTTAAAGACGTATTGTATTTATTTACACGAATGATTTTGTATAAAATAGATCGTCTATTCTTATCCTTGACAATTTTTTGGCTCATTTTTCAGTATACAGATGTCGGTTGTTTTTTTGTTAATGACGTTGTTTATTATAACAACGACGGTGATTTACCGTCGTGGTTTTACTTTGGAAAAAATGTCAGTCGATTTTACGACGGTTTGAAAACCCGATACATGACGGTGAATTCCCATTGTCTTTTGCCTTTTTTGTAGTAGTGTCAATTGATAAGCATAATGAATAAGAACAAGAACTGAAATTGAAACTTGGAAACCAATCAAACTTCAAAAACCTAAAATCATCATGTTCAAAACAATAATAGAAAATTACAAGGTCTTTATTAAATAAAAAGACAAAGTAAAAGCTAAGGAAATACAAGAAGAAAATAAAAGGCAAAGGAGGGAGAAGAAGATAGGGACATCATGCCAGAGATGGCAAAGCTTCATCTTCATGGCTGCTAGGAGGCCAGCCTCCAGCTGCTGCCTTCTCTCTTTTCTCCCTTTGTGACTCTCAACTCTCCCTCTCTTTGTGTACAATGTGATGGAATATGAATGAATGATGAATCCTCCCAGCTCCTTGAAGACTCTCTATTTATAGGGTTAAGGGGAGTAGGAATTCTAATTGGGATACTGAGTTCACCAACCACACCCACTTCACCTACCATACAATTGCATTGGAAAACAAGTTATCTTCTCCTTAGGCTTAGTGCTGTAGTCCAACTTTATCTTCTTTTATTTCTTTTGGTTGCTGCAAAACCCCACTTGAATAAGCTCACCAAACTTCCCCACCATCAGAAATCACCTCATGCTTAGGTCAGAATGACCAAGCAACACTTAGCTCATGCTTTTGTCCGCATGACCAGCAACTTCATGGGCTCATGGATTGGGTTTCCCTTAAGCAAATGATGACTTTGAGGCTTCCACCTTAAGGTTCCGAATGCCATCTTTCTATCCATATGTCATTTGGGCCAATCCAAGGTCGGAGGAAGAAGTTAAGGCCGAAACAAATTGCTAACTCATTTGGCAGCGCATACAAAATTCCTCCTGAGCATAGTTTAGTATTTGATGGGCTGAGGACTCCATCTAATTTCAATTAGGCTCCATTTTAGATATGTTGTAGTAGAGACCCATTGGACCAACTTTACTTTAGAATGTCTCCTCATTTGAGTTGTGTAGATCGCTAAATGTGACCTACGAAATTGGACTGACAAGGGAGTGTAGCCCAAATTGGGTTTGTCTTTAAGCTCTTCTTCCATTCATCCAAATCAAGCCTTAACATGCTTGAATTGCATGAATTATGCTCTCTTGCTCTATTGACCTACAAAACACACAAAGAGAGGTAAATAACTCAGAATTCTAAGAAACTAAGGAAAATGACTAAGTAAATAGGGCATGTGTATGTATGAAATTATGAGCTTAACAGAACCCTCATTGCCCATTTCAAGAATGACTCCAAACTTTCAGGGTGTAAAATGATGTTAGCCCTTTAATTTACTAAGTATCGATTGTGATTAACCCTAGACTTTATTTGAACGATCAAATGATGAGATTTGATTGATTATGTAATAACCTCAAAATTGGGATTTTGTTGTTATTACTGTTCCAAAAAATTATACAAGGTTATTTAAAATGTGTGGGCATTTTATGAAGTTAGTTTGATGTGGAAATAATGGATTTAAGAAGGTTTAAACTCAATTTGTACTAAAATGCCCTTACGCTTAATTTAATGACTTTTCAATGGATGTATAAGGAATTGAAGTGAGAAAATTATGATTCATGGATGGAAGAATACTTTAAGTTGGTACGAGTATGTGGTAATTTTGGGAGATTTTTTCGGAACTCGGAGGAATTTTTAAGGAATTATTGAAGTTGAACCAATGAGGAGGTGACACGTGACAGGACGAAAAATAAAATAAAAAGTTACTGTGCTGTACTGTTCACACGTGGGTCGCTTTTCTCCTTTTCTTCCTCTTCTTCCGCTCCGCGCGTCTTCATCTTCTTCCTCTCTCATTTCTGTTTATGCAACGAAGAACAAAAAAAGAAATTGAAGTTTTTGTTAAAAAAAATTTGGAAATTCATTTCTTTCGTTTTAGAGTTCAGATTGTTGAACCGTTTTCGCCGACGTGATCGTGAGAACGAGCTCTACAATCTAAGGTAAATTTCGATGCCTCTCTTGCAAATTTCGAAATTGCTCAAATAGTAGATTTTTTATGGTTTAAATTGTAATTTCATATTCTGAGGTTAGATTTTTTATGGTTTAAATTGTAATTTCATTTTTTCGTTAGCTTTGCAAATTCTGGACCGTTGGATCGTGTCCTTATTTATATATGTTGTAGCTGGTGTTGTTGTGGGTTAGGTTCAAACTAAACATAGATCGTATATCACTATATGAAGTTATTGTGTTTTGAAGTTTAGGCGAGCTATCGCAGTTTGATCGTGTGTGATCGTGCAATTAAGAATGATCCGACCATTGAATTGGGCCCAAATTGATGCAGGGTGATGTCAGAACTATTTAGATTCTATTGGTGCGATCGGTTTGGAAATCTGAGGTCATGGGTTGAGGCGGCTTTTTGGTTCGAAATTTCCTCAGCGTATATCTTCACGTCCAATCCAAGATTATAGAGGATTCCTCCTCCAACCCATAAATCAACATGAATATGCAAGAGCACAGGCCACAAAAATCATTTGTTTTCTTCCACTGGAGACCAAGTCAATACTTGTTTGTTTTTTTTTTTTGGCGAAATGGACCAAGTCAATACTCACCGCAAAATCCAAGTCGGAAACCAACATGTGGAGTGTAGCCAAGCCCAGTTGACAGATAGGGCAAGACTTCAAAGTCAACAACTCAATACATAAGGCACGGCAATGAAATCATGGTTACAACAACCGAGTGGGCAACAGATACAACTCTGTAAAATATTATGACAAGCATTAGAATATAGATTGTTAGCACTGGCTCTCAATGACGTGGAGTTTAGTATAAATCTATAGGTGAAATTACTTCCATATTAAAAAGCATAGTTAGTAAAATAGGGGACATAAAAAATACGAATAAAATGTTTACACATATTATCTAACTAAACAAAAAGGAATATAGAGTATTTCAATATTAATTATTCAAAATTTTAGAGTGTAGTATTTTTACTTAATAATATGTGCAAAGATACATATATTTAATTTCGTCATTAGTTGCGAAATCTTGGATTTTTGGAGTTTTGTGCTAAGTTGAGCTATGTACTTTGCTTAGGTACTATTGGAGATTGAGTTGCTCGTTGAGGTTTGAGATTGAGGATTCGTTAAGTTGTTGAAGACGCAGCTTGGACGAGAGGTGAGTAAAACCATCCTAATCGTGAGTAAAGTCACGAATTATTATATTTATTATAAGGTGACCTTGGATAATGTTAATGGCTATAATTAACATGTTGGTTGTGATTTTATAAAATGTTTAATTGATTTAAAACACATGAACTTGTTCATCAACGGTTCATGAGGTAAGTGAAACCTATTTTGTTTTGAATTAATACTTATTATTGGAGATTTTGGTGTTTAACCATATAACATATGTTGTGGATGTATGGTGGAAATTCATTCGTGAATAACCACATAAATATATATAATAAATATATATTGCTGCAATTGGTGTATTTGGCTATAAAACAATGTTTAATGTGAAACTACATTTTATATTGTTTTGGCGTTGGTGTTTTGGTGTTGGTGTTTTGGTGTTGATGGATTTAGGTGAGAATACCTTGAATCCCTTCTGAGTTTGTCAGGTGGGCATTCTCGTGGC